GTGAACATGAAAGGTGGTGCTTAGTGAAAGAAGGCAAGCGTGTGTCGGAGTTCTGTTTACAAGCTGACACACAACAGAGTCCATCCCGAACGCGGTGACAGGCTGACAGACTCAAATTAGAGAGCAATTACAGCAGCGGTGTGATCCGTTATGTGCTGTTTACAGGTGCCATTCACTCTGCGGATCCGGAAAACTCTGGAATTTTACAGCCACACGTACAGAACCAGGCAAAACTGAGAGATCATCCCTCAAAATGGGCTGTTTTTCCCGATGTTCTTGATGTTTATACTAAGAAGTACATTTCTGAAACTTTAACAAAGTTTGCATCCTATATCAAACTATATATATTTTATATATGTTTATCATCAATATATGTTTTTCAACAATATGAGCCATTTAACATTAATGTAGGCTAATGTGGGATGATTTTATTTTATTTGGGATCATTTTTATTGGTTCCGTTTATCGCAAAATTAAAAATTAAATGAAAAAAGCATCTGGAGTTTTCAAAAAATGAAAAACTGTACACTCTTAAAAAAGAGGTTCTTCAAGGGTTCAATAGTAAAGAAAATGGTTCTATACAGACCCATGAACATGAAGAACCAACTGCAGGCTTAAATTATTCTCTGCATGGTAAAATGGTTCTTCAAACTTATGGAGAATGTGCTGTATATGGTTCTGCTATTGCTACAAGCTTGACATCATAACAAGAGCAGAACCCTTTTTGGCACTACATAGAACCATTTCCCCATGCAAAGACCGTTTAATGGTCGTTTGAGTGTTCTTTGAGTGTTCCTGTCTTAAACAGAACAGTTTTCTTTACTAAGGAACCCTTGAAGAAGCATTTAGTTTTGAATCAACAGTGATTTATGGAATCAAAGGGCTGCAGATGAATCAAACTGATTTATAGCTTGTTTATTTTTTTAAAATGCAGTATCTGTTCTGGAGGCAAACACTGTTCAGTCATGAATCAGATCAATAAAACCTCTGAACAAACCGTCACGCATGTCTTCGCCGAACGCACTCGTTCAACACTCGTCCAGCCTGCGGAGAACCGCCACTTCCCTCTGATTAGATTCTTCAGTGGCAGAACAAAGCGGAAAAGCTCATTAATGGTTAATCCATAACTCCCAAATGGAGGTCATATTCCTCTAACGAGCGGCCTTAATTAGGATTAATTGCTGCTGAGGTAACAGGGTGACGCAGGGCCGGCTCTGCAGGCCTGTCGCTGCGGATCAGCGCTTTAATTCAGGATTTACTCCCAACATCAACAAGACTTCTTCAGTGTTTGAAGGAAGACGGTTTATTCAGGCAGCCTGATTAAACTGCAGAGGGGAATTAACAGGTACAGGTGTGCAGCATCAGCCTTTACAGGTGCAGGTAAATCTCTCACCTGAATTACTTCACATTACAGTTCTTTAGGAAACGTTTATCTAGCACCCTGATTTGATTTGCTTATTTTGGTACAATCAATAATTATGTAATAAAAAAGAAAAAACCTGATTAAACGTTTTACAGTATGGAACAGCCGACAGACAATAAAACAACAGATCAAGCTTATTTTTCTGTTTGAAATCGTGGCTAAAAAATTTGGCCACACTTTATGGAATATTATTACAATCAAATATAATCAATACTGACATTCCAATTCACTGGAATCTCAGTTTACCTTACTTTGACTTGTCAAAGTTCATCTAATAGGTGTAATGAGATTCTGTTAGATGAAGTAAGTGATTTTAAAAACTGCTTAAGGGTCCAAACACTACAATTTTGTGATATTTACTACAATTTGAAAACTAAAGATCACCTTTTCATTTAATATTTCATGATACAGACCAGTAAAAATGGTCCCAAATAAAATAATTTTACATTCACCTACATTAATGTTCAAGAGCTCATATCATGGAAAAACACTTTCTAAAAAATTGTGTGTAAACGTTGTTAAATTTCAAAAAGGTGGCATTTACTCCCCAGTACATACATCAAGAACAAGCCGTAAAAAAGAGATCATTTTTGTTTTGATTTCACTGTTTTTGTGATGTCACAAAACTAACTAGCTTCAAGTTCAGGCCTTTCCAAAGAAGAATACATTATTTCTTAAGCTGCATTTAAGCTAGAATTGGCATCAACTGTGATTACGTAACACTGCTAGCTTGGCGCTAACAACACTACAAAATGTTCATAGGGACGCAAATGGGAATTAGCATGCTAGTGGTTAACCAGACAATACAAAACTACGTCTAAAACAAATTACCACATGTTTGCATTAAACACTGCCGTTTACTGACACAACTGGCAGATCGTCATAGTTTCCCAGCATAAACCAAAACACAGTAGTTAGGACACCATGTGCCCTCGGTCCCATTCCAGCTCCTCATGCTCGTCATTACTCTCGCCTGTGTCTTGTTTGTTTGTCTTGGTTCCACTTACTGAGAAAAAGGACTGCTTTAGCAGCTGATTAGCAATGGTAGCTATTTCCTTATTTTTCTAATCGCAACTATCACTTAGGTCCCTTAATCCCCAATCAGGCTATCTGCTGACCCTTTTGCAACAGGCAAAAATACCAAACACCAAAATCAATCTATCTAGTGAGCTAACAAGCTAGCGTTAGCAGTGCTTTTACATAATAGCCTTAGCCAGGGGTGTCAGGCATGGGCTCACCTCATTTCCCTCAGCAGAACCTGACAGATCGTGCTAAAGTTCTAATTGAACAGAATGTTGATGATGATAAAATAGTGATACATGTGAAAAAATTACTTTTCTTTGCCTCACAGCGCCCTGCATGTATCCCTCCACCATGAATGGAGTTTAAGTTCTCTAAACTATCCTAAAACAGTGTCTCAGTCATCAGGCAGTGAATTCATAACCATTTCACTGTAGGAACTTTCTGTGAGGGAGCTTTTAGAGGGGGACGTCTGGTTCCTATCACCACCACTATGAACAAATCTGTCTAGGTAAGTGTGGCATGCGCCCACCCCCCGGGCCCCGACGATGACGGCCGCGAGAGCCGGCAGGAGGGCAGGGCCCGAACACCCAGCGGCGACGAACCGCGGCCTGGACGGCAGGGAGAGAGCCGCGAGTGGGGAGGGGGCGGAGCGCAAAGCCCGAGCTCGTCCGAGTAACCCGAGTGACGGCAGGGGGTGGAGGAAGACGACGACGGTGCCGGCAACGAGAGGCACCAGGGCAAGGAGCGAGTCCCGAGCTCCGCCGCCTGGGCCCCGCCCCCTGTTACGTTGCAAGGCCGCTCCACTACACCTCACGTTCAATCCGGGCGGCTGAGCTGCAAGCTGGGGGCGGTGACGAGGAGGCGGTGACGAGGAGGCGGAGCAGCGAGCTCTCGTTCCCTCTCGGCTCAGGTGCTCACGCTGCCCTTAATGAGAGGCAGCTGATGCTGATCTGGCTGGCAGCGTGAGCGCCTTTTAAAAGAGCTGAGAGGGAACACAGAGAGAGAGAAAGGGACGAGCAGCCGCCACAAGAGCAACAAAGACTTAAGAGCTGAAAAGCTTGAGTGTGAGAGACTGAAAAGTCTAGCCAGCTTAAGACACTGAAAAGTGGCCAGCATAGTTTGGTTGTTTTGAGTTGTGTTTATTTTGTGGGTAAATAAAGATATGGCTGCTGCGACTGTGGACCCTGCCTCCAGCGTCCTCCTTGAGCCCGGGGCAGCACATGCGGTGCTACAGTAACCACATCTTAACTACTTAATTATGCAGAGAATCTGGAAAAGTCCTCTTTATTGTGGGAGTGTAATGGACTGGTTTATGTAGTAAGCTGGGTATGAAACACGAGGAGGACTGAAAATGTCTGTGTATGATCGTGAATAATAGAAAGAGAGGAGGAGGAGCCAAACAAACATGGTGGTGTTGTCTTTGTTTTTGATATTTCAAAGTTCCATCTTCTTTTGCCTGACTGTGCATTTTATTGATGTATTTTCATCTCTATTTTGAAAACTTCCATAAATAAGCATGTAATGTACCTGTAAAGTTTATTTCAGAGCCCCTGCTGAGGAACTGCCTCTGTACAAAGTGAACATCATGGATTTCTGGAGAGACGCCATGAATAATAAAGCAATAACAATAACAAGCGAAGCAGAGTAAACCTCCCTTCCCGTGATAAAATCACTGTAACGCACGGCCTCAAGTGAATCATTGCTTTTATAAAACGGCGGCCAACATGAAATAAATATGATCAAATTTTTTAGAAAATAAATTTAAGTTATTAATAATAATAATCAACATTAACAAGTATTCCGCCAAGAAATGTAGCTCCTTTAGAGTTTGGTATCATTGCCAAGTAACCAAGGACCTCTGAATGAGAACGTTCAGTCGCCCATCACTGTTCACTGCGGTCATTTCATGAATTTGTAAAACTTTTTGTTGTACTCAGACTCATCCACGCTCGATAAATGATGCACTGTTTGGACGTAGAGGCTAGAACTTCTAAACTTTCATATCTAGAACACTATTTAGGGAGTACAGAGCCGTTTGGGATTCAGTCTGGGTTTGACGCGACTTCTGACTGAAACACGGACATTTGAAGTGTGTAAAACATTCAGGAGACATTTTTAGGCTTTTATACTGCAGTTTTATAGTGAATCACACTGTAGGTGCTTTAATTCAAGCCTGTGATATTAATGATGGAGCTGTTTAGCATGTTTGCTATGTTTTAGCCTGTTAGCTAGCTGACCAGCCTGGTTCTACATAAGAATATAAGCTGTGAGCCTCTCAGTTTAAACAAAACAGGTTCTCACTTCATCAGTGCACTCGGTGCTCCATGAGATCAGCGTTAGAGTCAGAGATTATTCATTAACAGCTGAAGGGTTTTTCGTGCTGGCGCAGTGATACAGAGCTCAGTCGCTGTGAGGCATCATAGGAGTCGTATATCGTGGATTTTACAACGGCTTTGAACGCGGCTCAGCCAATCAGATTTTAGGGCCGGAACTATCGTTTTATAAAACTCAGTTTAGCGTGTGGATCCGCCCATATGGGTGTAAACAAACTCACCAGGCTGTGTTGAACTCCACATGGGCGTCGAAGAAGCCCACCACCGGCGCCGTAGCAGCGTTCCAGCCGTGAATCCTGGCCCGGATCAGCCCCTCTCGCTTGGCGTTCCTAACGATCTTCACCAGGCCGGGATAGCGCTTATTCACATACTGATCCAGATTAAACTTCAGCTCCACTGAGAAAACAACAACAAACAACACACGTTAGTAAACAAAACACGTCTCTGTTTATCCTGCTTTCTTTCATTTTGGGCTGGATTTTAAAAAAGCTCAGAATATTAGTGTGTCCACCATCCCTCACTCCTTCATCTCCACCATCCCTCACTCCTTCATCATCTCCACCATCCCTCACTCCTTCATCATCTCCACCATCCCTCACTCCTTCATCATCTCCACCATCCCTCACTCCTTCATCTCCACCATCCCTCACTCCTTCATCTTCACCATCCCTCACTCCTTCATCTCCACCATCCCTCACTCCTTCATCATCTCCACCATCCCTCACTCCTTCATCATCTCCACCATCCCTCACTCCTTCATCTCCACCATCCCTCACTCCTTCATCTCCACCATCCCTCACTCCATCATCTCCACCATCCCTCACTCCTTCATCCCTCACTCCTTCATCTCCACCATCCCTCACTCCTTCATCATCTCCACCATCCCTCACTCCTTCATCTCCTTCATCACTCCTTCATCTCCACCATCCCTCACTCCTTCATCATCTCCACCATCCCTCACTCCTTCATCTCCACCATCCCTAACAGAATTAACAGAAATGAGGTATGATTTCTGGTAATCTGTAAAACGTAACAAAGTCCATATGACAAATGACCTACAGGCTGAATATGTAAATATATAAAGAAAATACATTTTTTTAAGAAAACAATAAAACAGTCTCAAGAGAACATTTTGAATATATTATGAGATATATTTATGAGAATTGCATTTAAGAACATTTAATGGAACTTTTTAGGTTCTTAAGTTTTTTTGCATGTGGTGAACTTCATAACTTTTATTATTACTATTATTAACTGGAACTGACAGATTTAAAGTGATTAAAGTGTTTTAAAATAGCTTTTAATCAAAATCACAAGAAGCCCACTGTACTTGGTTTAGCCTCTGTTTTGCTAACACATTTAATCCTTTTTCTCAGTAGATACAAAATGTATTTTCTGCCTGTTTTGAGCTCCTCAGTTAAACTAATATCTATTTCTTCAATAACACTGATGGAATGTATTTGGAAGAAAATGTAGCTGATTTATAAAACTGGAAGCAAACTGGGTTTCTGTCTTTGTGTCACACATTCCTCTGGCTCAGGGGTCTCCATGGACTCCATCCTCTGGGAGATCACATGACTCCTGACCCTCCATCACACTCCAATCACCGTTCTGTGTCTCCTGAGTCCTAATCTACATCACCTGTTGACCTCTCACTAGTGTTAGTATAAAGCTTGACTGTTTTTCTGTGTTTTGACTTTTCCCTTTTTGCCTGACCCCTTTTGGACTGATGTTGCCTCATGTTGTTGTGTTTGTACCGGGAGATTCACTCGAAAGAGGCCCCGAATATTCTGCTGTAACTCCCTTTAGGATGAATCAATCTGAACCAAAAAAATACCCCACATACCTTGACGTATGTGTGATCGATTGCATTACATGTGATGCTGAAAGACACATTTTGACACAGTGCTCCATGTTCCTAAACGTATCGGCAAGCATTAGAGAGGTTGGACGTTGTGACGGCTGTCCGGCGCCTACCTCATCGCTCCGACGCAGGGGCATCCTGGCTTGTTTGAAGCTCCACATACTGAGAAGCACATTGCACGTTATTTCGTTCAGATTGCTTCGTCCTAGAGAGAGTTAGTACAGAATATTCAGGGCCTCTTTCGGGTGAATCTCCCTGTACTTGCTGCCTTTTTTGGATTTGACCTGTGCCTTTTTCTGACCGAGATTTTGGATAACGATTCACAGCAAAGCCATTTTTGCGTGAGTCATTCTGTCATGTTACACTGTAGGTGAGCAACATTACCAGTTATAACATTATTTTATTGGACATCAACAAAAGTTGTCTGCTTTATCTCAGCTTGGCTGTCACTGTGGAGAAGAGCTTAGCTTAGAGAGGGTTCTCACCGCCCTCCTTCAGCCCTCATTGCTCACTAGCAGCTCAACAACATAAGTCCTAGTTCATCAGAGATACAGGGACAACACATTTTAGTTGATAATATTAATTACAAATATATGAGTTCTTCCTCAGCCAGAATGGTCACTAGGGGGCACTGCAGAAAGAGATTAAATATAGCACAGAAACAACATGCTTGGCATTAATTTGATTCAGCCATGTTGGCTAATGATGCTGGGCAGCGCACCGTGAGACCTGACAGCTCTGCAAGTTTATTTGGCAGGTTAGCTGGGCTTCCTGTGATGTGTGATGAGCCAAGAGGACTAATTTACTCATCATGCTCTGTCAAAGTAGCAGCGCCCGAAGTGCGTCCTGCTTAAAAAGGCACTTAAAAAGGCATCGCCTGAACACCACCAACTGTTCATGTCTCTCACTTTGGAGCTTTAGCATTTTATTTTAGACCAAAAAGATCAACAAAGAGGAAAACAGAGTCGTACAAACTGCAGTTCCTGTGCTGATGGATGATCTAAGAAGTTCAACTGCAGATACTTTTTTCCCGACTTTTGTTGTTGCTCAGCTGCTTTAACTTTTATTTTGTCTTTTCACTAAAGTGACAAAACTCTACACCTCTGCTGTGAATATTGTGGCCATCAATCCTGTCGATGCATCATAACATCCCAAAAACAAATGTAGGGCAATTAAAAATAAGAAGTTATTGCGTTCTCCGTGGACACAGCTGGGGTTCCGCGATAAAGAATTTATGACGCGGAAACATTTTATACAGCAGCAACAAAAAACAACACAAAATAAACAAACATTCATCCATCTTACGAGCAGAGAAGGTGGGAGATGGAGGACGTGAGGACTGTAGTAATATCTGAGATGTGAAATGTTTGCTGAGAGATGAGTTACGGAAAGCGCGATGCGCTGTTTGATTTGATTTAAGGTTTCCATGGTTTCCATCTGCAGCTGCAGGTTTGATATATGACAAAATCACGAGGAAACATACAGAGCTGGAATAATAAGTCTGATCTTCTTCTGTATGTATGTGTGATAGTGATGAAAGCCAATATCAGGCCTATTTTTACAGATTAGACTTAAACTTGGATTAAAGGGGAATTCCACTGATTTTTCAAAAATTCTGTATAATTCAATGTGTGAGATGTACACAGAGTGATTCAGAGAGGTTTGGTGTGAAATGGTTCAGATGTCTTTACAGTGGTGGTGATAGGAACCAGGGGTCGCCATGACTACAACACAAATATAGACATTTTATTTACTATCCAGAACCACCAGAGAACCTACACGAGTCTTCTGAGTCTATATGGAATGTTGATGATGGAAAATAGTGGAAAATCTGAAATAATAAGTTTTCTTCGGGGACTATTTTGCCTCACAGCGCCCTGCATGTATCCCTCCACCATGAATGGAGTTTAAGTTCTCTAAACTATCATAAAACAGTGTCTCAGTCATCAGGCAGTGAATTCATAACCAGTTCATGTAGGAACTTTCTGTGAGGGAGCTTTTAGGATCAGGGATCTATTTAAACCATTATTTTAATCCTGCTTTTAGTTTTACAGGAAATCTAGATTCAATTTAATCATGTACTTTAAACAAACTTGTAAATTTCAATTTGGGACTAAATTTAAAATCTCAGCCAAGTTTAATGCAACGGTGCTGCAAAGAAAAGAGCAAAGTATCTCCAAAATGTTAACTTTACAGGAGAAGGCAAAAACTCTCTTTACATTTAATGTAATTTATTGTTTTTCCATGTAATGTTGGACCATTTCTATTGGTTCATTCATCATGTTTATTTACATGATATAAGATGTGCTATTATCCTTATAAGTGTAGGGCAAGTATTGTAATTTCGTAAAACATTCTATGCATTTTACACGATTTTGACTATTTATTACTTAATCGTGTAACATTTCCTTCTGAAAGCAGCATTATTGTTGTGATAAAAAAAAACACCACACAAAAGCTAACCACCAAGCAAAAGATAACCACAAAAGTGGAAGCTAACCACCATACAAAAGATAACCACCCTACAAAAGATAACCACCAAGCGAATGCTAACCACCAAGCGGAAGCTAACCACCAAGCAGAAGCTAACCACCAAGCCCAAGCTAACCACCAAGCCCAAGCTAACCACCAAGCAAAAGATAACCACCAAGCAAAAGATAACCACTAAGTGAAAGATAACCACCAAGCCCAAGCTAACCACCAAGCTAAAGATAACCACCAAGCCCAAGCTAACCACCAAGCGAAAGATAACCACCAAGCCCAAGCTAACCACCCAAAAGTTATCCACAGACAACCATCAAGCGAAACCTTTTGTCAACCTGATATTTTTATTATTATGTGACAAAAGTTATACATAAAGTAGTGTTAGAGGTTCTCAGAAGAAACTTAGAAGAGTCAAGGTTCTGGTCCATAATTCACCTTCAATCACAGCTCAAACCGGCATGCAGACATAAATGAAAAATAGCTCTTGAGCTCGCCTGAGCTCTCACTGCTCACTGCTAGGCTCTCTGTTTAGCCTGTAGCTTCCTCCCTTCTGGCCTCAGAGTCCTTCAAAACAAGACTTCCCATAACAAAGGCTAAATATAAGCTACTGACCAGAATAACTGAACAAAACAGAACAAAGGCGGACTCTGTTAGGCTGGAGGAAAATCTGGATCATTCGTGGGTCCCTGAGGACCGACTCGAGAACCTGTGATTTACTGAATATTTGTGTGGTGTCAGATTTTATGCTGCTGTTCTATAAGACCTGTAAACCTCCTGAGGTTGTGCGTTACAGTGATGTTACCATGTGTAAGGGTGTTTAATTAAGCACAGCCATGAGAACATCATGTAAAACACGGCCTACAGTGGATCAGCGCTTTAATAAACAGCTCACACTACAACGTCTTCCTACACAGAAGAGTTAATCGAGCCCGTGGACAGAGATAACCTTAACCTCCCTTAAAAGAACAGCAACATGAGACCGGCGCTCCACCGATGTCTCTTTCTATGTGATTACTGTTGTTCCTCGAGTCATTTCAGAGGAACCGGC